GCGATTTCACGTCATCGCGCGGTGCACTCGCGATGCTCTGTCATGCACCCAGGCCGCGAATCCTGTGCAAAAAATACCACAAAGAGCACACTCGCGCGTTCATGTCAGAATCCTACCGAACACCGTGTGTTTGCAAGCATTTCAACATAAAAACATCAAAAACCCAATGCTTTTTCACAAAAATGCTTTGGGGTGTCCTGTCAGACCGTCGGGCTTCCTCCGGCCACCTCTGGCTTCCTGCGGTGTACCGGGCCATTCTCGACTCGTCTGGCAATGCGTGCGCGGCATTCAACACGCGCTCGCCAGTTCCCGTCGGCAACCGCCATCGCGGCCGCATCAGCTGTACCAAACCGGCTGGCCGGTGTGACTTCGGCCCCCAGTTGTGCCAGCTTTGCTTCTTATGTTGTGGGAGGGCGGGTGGGACTGGGCATGCCATGCTTGACTCGCTCGAGCTGGCTAGCTTGACTCCTACTCCTACTCCTACTCCTACTCCTACTCCTACTCCTACTCCTCCTCCTCCTCCTCCTCCTCCTCCTCCTCCTCCTCCTCCTCCTCCTCCTCCTCCTCCTCCTCCCCCTCCTCCTCCTCCTCCTCCCCCTTTCGACCCGCTTCGGCCCCGGATCCTCGGAGATCCACACGTCCGAGGGGGCGAGGCACGACCCAAACTTCGTCCACCGCCTCGAAAAAAACTCAAGACGGCAGGGCTCTCAGCGTCCGGCGTCAGGGGGCCCTCGCCGGGCCCTGGGACGACCCTGTCGAGCATCGACTCGGGACGCAGAGCCCGGCATGGGGGGGCAGGTCCATACCTCCGGGAGCCCCTTCGCTGAAAGGCTCGCGGCGTCGGGAAGTCTGCGGGGGCCGCGGTGTGCCCTCGGCACTCTGCGGCGGGCTCGCGCCACGGGGCGCGGTTTCTGACACCGCATGGGTGGAGCAGCCCAGAGCCCGGACGGTGCAGGTCGTTCCACGCTGCGGGGGGGCGCAGAGGTGGGGTAAAGGCTACTTGCGACGGGGCAAAAGCCTAGACCCAATGAACCTCAAGGCCATCAGTCCAAGTCCCAGATCGCACATGTAGCTCCATCCTGGAAAGAAACGTCGGCCGTCAGCCTAAGTCATTCCAACCCTGCCTCACTACTCTCAGGTGTCACTGGCAACTACTAGCGGCCGTCAAAAGGAAGTTCGAGGAGAAGGCACCTGGTCTGAGAGACCGACAAAAGAGCACCCTCACTATGCTGGATGCTGACGCGGGGGAAGCGGCGAGCACTATCGCAAAGCCAGAAGCCTGCAATCCGTGAAAAATTACGAAATGCCTGGCCCTCGGTGCTTCCTCGCACGTGTGGGCCGATCTCAGATCCCCAAGCCTCATCCAACACCCTGCCCCTCCTGCCGTTGAGCCCAGCCCTCCCACGACTTGATTCCGGCCCTCCTGTGCAGAGTCGGGGCCCTCTGCCCAGAGCCTCCTGCGTTGAGGTGGATCCTCGTTTCGAATCCGCAGCGCCGCGCATCTCCTCCTCCTGCTCCTCCTTCTCCTCCTCCTCCTCCTCCTCCTCCTCCTCCTCCTCCTTCTCCTCCTCCCCCTGTAAAGAATTACACCTGCAGCCCTAGTGGGCAAATCCGCACGGCCTACCCACGCCGTCACGGGGGGAGAGGGGCGTGGCGGGGTAGAGGTAACGTGGCGGACGCGGGCATGGTAGTAGCAGCAGTGATCAGCGATTGTTGCAGCAATGCTGGCAGTAGCAGCAGCCACGGTGGCGGCCATGACGACGACGAAAGGTGGCGGCGGCGACGACAACGCCAACAACATTGACGGCGGCCATCTCACAAAAATATGATCTGACACGCTGAATTGACTTCATTCGTTTCTCCCTCTCCCCCCCCCCTCCCCCGCCAAGTTTACGAACCAACCCCGTTCATGAGGGCGGGAGGAACATCCAGCAGTGCACTGCATGTGCGCACTCCGCCGTCATGGCCGTCATGCGAGCTATCGCGCCCGCGAGCAACTAACCATCTGGACCGAACTGCGAGGATGACTCTGGAGGGAGCGCCGTTCCTGAGCTTGGGACCCTCCAGGGCGTCTCAGAATGAAATGTGAGGAGGTACCGAGCTGGCGCCGGTGTCGTCGTAGCTAGGGCTTCGCCTTGCGAGGAGGTCTCGGGCGAGAGCGCCACTCCATAGTTGGAGAATGTACATCGCAAGGCAGCCTTGGAGCAGATTACGTGGATGTATCGAACGGGGGCCGTTGTTGAAGTTGGGCCTTTACCAACTTGGATGAATAAGAATAACGTCTATGTCGAGAGCACGATGTCTGAATTAGGGGACCTCTCAAACAAAGTCGCCTCGGAAGAAAATATAAAGTGGGAGCAGTTGTCGCAGTTTGGCCTTCACAGGCTTGAACAAATTAAGAGGACGTCTCTGTCGAGAGCGCCGCGATTGAATTTGGGGACCTCTGCGACCAAGGCGCCTCGGAACAACTTGCAGGTCATCTATAGCGGGAGCCGTTGTCGTCGCAGTTGGGCCCTCACCGCCTTGATTAAACTGTAAGAGGGTGTCGGGCGAGAGCGCCAGTCCTGAGAGTGGGGGCGTCCTCTGACCAAGGCATCTCGGAGTAGCAGACTGCGAGGACGTGTCGAGACAAAGCCCTTGTCGTCACAGTTGGGCCTTCACCAACGCGGCTGAGTCGCGAGGAAGCGTTGCGTTGAGCCAGGGTGCCGCGGGCGCATCTGACCGGGCGCGTGGGAGTAAAGCGAAGAGAAGTATCGAGCGGCAGCCGTCGTCGTCGCAGCTGGGCCCTCACCAACCAGAGCGGACTGCGAGGCAGTCTCGGGCAAGAGCTCCACTGCGACGACGTATCGAAAAGGAGCTGTCGCCGTCGCAGCTGGGCATTGGAAAAACGTGTCCGAATTAGGAGGAAGTCGGTCGAGAGCGCCGCTGCTGAGTTTTGGGGCTCTCTGGCCACGGCGCCCCGGGCTAAATTGTGAGAACACGTCGAGCGGAAGCCGTTGTCGTCGTAGGTCGGGCTTCCACAACTGCATTTGGGAAGCAAGCCCACGCTCGAGTGGGAACATCGGCTTCGTAGAGCATGCAGCCGACGTCGAGATGAGAGCACCCAGAACATACTCAACAATCATGAACCGGGCGCGACCCCAATGAGGGGAAAACTTTCCACTGCATGGGCGTCATGTTTGGCGCTGCGGCGTTGCTTGGCATTGCTGACATTGATTGGCCGTGCTCGACATTGCCTGGCATTGCTTTGCAATGCTTGGCGTTGCTTGGCATTGCCTGGCATTGCTTTGAACTGCTCAGCATTGGGTGGCACGGCCTGGCTTTGCGTGGCATTGCTTTGCATGGATTGGCATTGTTTTGTATTGCTTGGAATTGCTCGGCATTGCTTTGCGATGCCAATACTGGAGAACCCGAGGAACCCAGGCAAGGAACAAGGCGGGGAAACCCGAGGAGAGAAGGCAAATATAACAAGAGCGGGGACCCCGAGACCTGGAGGTCACTGCACGGAAACAAAACTGGGGAACCCCTGGGGAAGAACCGTGTAAGGAAGCAAAATGAACCTCGGGGATCGACTACACGCAAGAGTGACCCTGGGTGAGAGTGACCTTTGGTGCGCGGCTTTTTGGGGGCCGCGTGGGGACCAAACCCGAGCGCGAAAGACGCGGCGGCTACCGCATCGTGCTCGGCGATCGGAGGGACACCGATGGGCCCGCACCAAGGTCACTCCGGCGAAGGGTCACTCTTACTTATAACCGAGGGGAATGCGGGGATACACAATCAGAACTGATAGCGAGGATACACGTTAAGGATGCAAGGGCCCTGGAAGGCCATGCCCACACTTTTCGAGCGGGGCGCGGTCGACGAAAGCGGCCAAGGATGGGCCGGAGGGGAAGGATGCAAAGGAAGCCTTGGAGAGTCGCTCATCTTTACATTCAATGTTGACTACATGGATCAACTCCTTGCCTGGGAGGCTGCGCTCCACCTGGCGCCCAGAGCGGAGGCCAGCGGCAAGGGAACGGATCGAGCGTCGATCGCCGAGATGGTGGCCCTGGGGGCCTGGGGGGCCGTCAAACAGTCGAGGGTTTCTCGAGGCGCCCCTGGCCCAAGGCGCTCCCAGCTAGTCGGTCACTTGGGGACCCCCGGGCCCTCTGGGCCTCGTGCGGGGTGCTCTGGAGGCCGTGGCGGGATACAGTACTTGGAAATCCTGGGGGCACCTTGGGCCCAGGGCACTTCCAGCAGCACCTTCTCCTCCTCCTCCTCCTCCTCCTCCTCCTCCTCCTCCTCCTCCTCCTCCTCCTCCTCCTACTCTACCTCCTCCTCCTCCTCCTCCTCCTCCTCCTCCTCCTCCTCCTCCTCCTCCTCCTCCTCGAATAACACCGGCCCAGGACGAACAATCACGTCCTGGGACACGGCCGAGAGGTCCGAGGGGCCGACGCCGCGAGGAGGTCAGATCGTCAGAGGTAATTACGGCAGGTGCGCCTGAAGAGGTTGCCTTCCCTCCATCGCAGACCGCGACACTGTTGGACTGCCCTGCTAGCCTCATGCCTGCGGAGGCCGCGCTTCCACACCGCGGCGCGATGCTACAACTGGCGGCCTGGGAGCCCGCCAGGGGCGAACAGCCCTGGGGCGGGCACTACACGCATTCGCCCGGGAGCCTCGGCGAAGGCATGGATCATCGGCGCCCCCGAATGCGTGCATTGCTCTCCCCTGGGCCCTTCGCCCCTGTCGTCGCCTCTGAAAGCGTGCGCCTTCGGAGGCCCAAAGCGGACTTCTCGGGACGGTGCCAGGCCTTCCTCCCCGCGCCCCCGCCGGCACCGCGGGCGCCGCTTCCGGCGCGCTCTCGGCGCCGGGGAGGGGGCGGGGGGAGGAGGAGGAAGATGTGGAGGGGGAGGAGGTGGAGGGGGAGGAGGTAGAGGAGGAGGAGGAGGAGGAGGAGGAGGAGGAGGAGGAGGAGGAGAAAAGGAGGAGGAGGAGGAGGAGGAGGAGGAGGGAGGAGAGGAGGAGAAGGAGGAGGAGGAGGAGGAGGAGGAGGGAGGCGGAGGAGGAGGGGCGGGGTGCGCAGCGCCAGGCGCAGGAGGTCCGCGCGGGGGGGCCGTCGCGGGAGGCCATGCGCGCACACGAGAGC